GGGGCGCTCTGCTGGGTACAGGTGCCAGCCGGAGCCGGGCTCGGGGGCGCGGCCTCTTCTCCGCCTGCAAGAGTCTGGGGGTGGGAATGGGGGCGTAAGGGCTCGACCGGATGTGGAGCCCAGGTTCGCACTTCGAGTGTTTGGGGCAGGAGAAGTTTCCCAAACTGCGGGAGACAAGGTTTAAAGCACCACGACACGCGCTACGCGGCCAAGTGGAGCTGGAAAGAGCTTGAAGGCGGGAGCCCAGGTTGTCGCCGGCTCTTGGCATGGCCTTGGCAATCCCCCTCTTGTTTCTGGATCTTGGTTTCCCATTTGTAGGGGCGAGGTTTGGTAACCGCGATGAAGCTGGGAGCCCGGGCCGTGAGAGCTGCCGGGCGCTCTTGACCGCCTGCGCTCCCCCCACCTGTTCACACGCTCCGGCCTGGGACGCTGGGGTCCCAACCGCACACATCCAGAGAGGCTGCAGAAATCGGAGACTAGCTGCCCCAGACTCGATCCTGGGACCCACTAAGGCCGTTGGATATCCTAAGCCGTACAATCCTAGGAAGGGCACTTTTGGGGTGCCTATGAGCATCTCTCTGCTGCGTAGCCGCCATTGCCTTGGCAAAGCAGCCTGTGAGCCACACAGCTTCAGATGCGATGAGCTGGGCAGGGGTAGGGGTTCCAGTCCAGCCGCTCCCTGGCCACAGTTTCCTGGTCTTATACCGCGCCTATGATGCGTCCTCCAACCTGTGCAGCGCCGCCCCCTCCTACACCCTTCACCCACCGCTGCTATTACAGACCCTGTCTCTGGCCCTCGCCCTATATCCTCAGACTCTCGGAGACCACCTGGCCCAAGCTCCTCCGTGTCTGAATCGCAGAACCAGACCCTGAACCCAGGTGCTGGGCCCTCAGCGTGAGAACCCCTAGGACCCCCACCCCATCTTTCTTCCAGAGGTGACTGCCATTTTGTCCTCCGTGCAGGGCCGCAGAGCCCCCTGCTCAAGGTCACACAGGACCTGTCACGCCAGAAGGTCTGCAGTCTCCCAGCCTTTCCCATCTCTTTCTGAACCCTTCCCACTGCTCAGGCAGGTCCGGGAGCTCTGGCAGTGCCTGATCAATGCCCCCTCTTCTTGAATCTGCTGCTCTTCTGGACTTTACCTTGTCTGGACAATAGTGCCCTCATCCTGAAGTTTCCTTTTTGCTTCTACTTTACGTTCTATTATATGTTTTTTTTTCTAAAGCCATCTCAAAGACTTGCAGATAAAGAATTAACGGGAAACGGAGCTAAATACTACAGTTTCCATCAGTTAGAGCCACACAACCAACAGACAGAGTGAAAACAAGAACACTGTCACTTTGGTGTATTGTCTCTAATGAGCTAGTCTTACAAACCCATGTTTTAGAAAGTCATTGGCCCTTGAGTTCCTCCCAGCCTAAGACGAAAGCCAGTGTCCTCTAAAAATAGCCTCCGCCCCACCTTATCAGGGTCTCACACCTTCTCCCTCCTCCAGGATAGGGCGTATTCTTGCAACTCAGCAAAAACAGAAAACACAAAGTAGGTGTGGCAGCTCTGAGCACTGGGAGGTGGACTGGCCTGGAGGTTAGGATACCCGGCTTCAGCCCCAGTTCTGCCACCCACTCAGAGCAACCTTGAACAATGAGGGGGTGGACAAGATGGTCTCTAGTGGACCTGGAGTGGGGAGGGCTTGGAGTCCCCCCCGGAAGCCTTTCTAGCGTGACCCATCCTGTAAGGAGGAGCTGGGGAAGGAGTGAGAGAGACTGGCTTTCCCAAGTGCCAAGGGAGGACTGAGGTGGGCAGTGTCACTTGCTGTGAAGAGACAGGAGTGGGGGATGAGGACTGGGAAAGGACCATCAGGATTGGCAGGGATCATGAGTGACTTTGACCAGGGCATTGCAGCAGGCTCAGAAAATGGGATCTGCCAGTGACCCAGCCTGTCTGAGCCTGTTTCCTCCTCTATACAATGGAGATAACAGTAGCCCCATTTCACAGGGGCTGCTTGTGGGAATTAAGTGAGATGATTCAGGGTAAGTCCTCAGCCCAGAGCCTGATATTGCAATGCTATAATTAGCTGTGGTGAGGGGCAAAGGCAGGAGCTAACGGGAGCTGAAGAAGTTCTCCACTTCTTCAGGCTGTAGGCTGAAGAAGGCTCTCCACAGAGCCTGCAACTCTTTCTAAAAGCTTGGACCAGACAGGAAGGGAGAGGCAAGGTAGCAGGAACTGAGGACAAGGGACAGAAGGGAGGCAGGCATTCTAGGATAAAGAGTATGGCAAGAAGTGAGAAGAACCCAGTAGAGAGGAGAGAGTTAAAGGAGAATCTAAAGGGTGTGCCCATAATGAGGATTTGGGGACCTTCCGTAGTGACTTGCAGAATGTCACAGACTCTGCAGGTGGCCTTCATCCCCTGGAATGAGCAAAAAAAGGTAAAATGAAGGAGATCCTGGCTCAGACCCATGTGTCTCTGGCAGACCAGTATCTGCGATGGAGGATGGTGATGGGTCGTGAAGGGTGTTTTGACCCTGTTCATGGGCTTCATGACCTTGGCTTACTTATTTCTGAAATGACATCATCTATCGATGACTCCTGCTGAGCCCAGTCATAATGGCCTTTTCCAGTCAATGTTTTGAGTTTTGAGTCTTACTAATGGACCAGCCAGGCTGCCAACATTTCTAAAGAGGCCAGTTCACTTTTCCCTCAAAGCCAGAACACCAGATACATCAATTATTGGGCTGCTAGGAGCCATTATCAGTTTAAAACCACAGGCCTCTTTCTATGGAAAAGCATGAACCAGACAGCACAATTCCAGGGCCATTTCCTCTCTTTTGTTTTGTTTTGTAAAATCTTCCTTTGGCTAATCATGATAGAACCTGATTCTCTTTGCTCTTAATGACAATGAGAGAATGAGCTCATTGGAGTCAACTTAGGACACGGTCTGGGAGGTTTTCTTTCGTATTAGGTGGTGTTGGGTCTTTATCTGATCTGAAAAACTAAACAAACTCAAGCATGCCTTTTGTTTCTCCTTCTCTTATGTCCTTTCGGTTTTCCTTCGGAGAAAAAAAATGATTTGTGAAAGGGTTGGACATTACCATCTGTGAGGAGGAAAGAGGGAGGGAGAGGGAGACAAGGGCTTTCATCCATCCATTCATGTCCATCCCTGTCTCAGTTCATGTTCTCAGGGGCCCCAGCCTCAGGCCCCACTCACTCTGGGGCTTCAAGGGTGGTGACCCCAGGGCCCTTTCTAGCGATGATTCTGGAGGGTGATGAGTTGTGACCACTCCATTGTTGCTCTCCATGCCCAAAGGAATGAAGGAAAGCAGAACTGCCTCTTGGCATCCTCCAACCTCCTTCATAGACTCATCACTGCACCCCATCCCTTTGCTATTGGTGCCTTGGTGCCACTCCTACCCCTATTCTCTTTCCACCGCACACTCTCTCACAGTCTCATTCACTCCCACAACTCCAGTCACCTCACAACTCCCTAATTCTTGCATCAAGCTGGACTTTGCTCCTCATCTACAGACATCTCTGCCTCCTGATTCCTTTGTCTTCACCACCCCATTCATGTGCCCACCAAGTCCTGTCAATGCTACCTTCCTTAATTTCTGTTACTTCCGTTTCTATCGCCACATCCACTATCCCAGTTACGACTCCATCTCTCCCATAAGCTGCTCTCAGAGCCTCTTAAAGGTATTTCTGCCTCAAGTCATTAATTCT